TACTCGGTTGCTGCTTGACGTAGGTTGCTAAGCCTTTTAAAAGTTTGCACGTGGAGGATAGGAAAAAAATTTTTTAGGTTTTGTATATACTTTTGAATAACTAAAAAATCATAAATTACTACATCAATACCACAGAATTCTACTATAATTTATCAAGCTTAGTAAATAGTGGTTCTTTTATGGGTGTTTGAGGGGCCATGATGTAAGACAAGTACTTTAAAGTGCTCAAGAGAATGATCAGCTGTGTTGACATGCCGAGCTACAGATCTTTAATCCAGATGCTAAGTACGTGTTCTCGTGTACGTTCAGCGAGCATTCGGCTGGTTTCTCCTATGTAGATTAGGTCACAGTTGTTACAAATAACACAATAAATTAAACATTTAGATGTACAGGTGAAATTGCTATTCACAGAATATGTTAATTTAGGGCCTCTAACAGATTTTCTACGATCAGTGTAAGGGCAGGTGTTACATCTGCTCCTCTGACAAATGTACAAACCAACATGAGTAGCAGATGATAGTTGTATGTTTTCAGAAGTTGACTATAGATGAGTAAATCTTTAATGTTAGTGTCTCGTTTATAAGGTTTGTTAGGGAACATGTACCAATGGTGTTGTCTTGTGTTATGATGCGGAAGTTATCAAACAATGTATGTGTTATTTGTGTGTTGAATGGGTGAAACATAAGAGTAAGGGGAATGTGTTGATGATCAGTGGAAGTAGGAGTGTGTAGGTTGAAGCGAGGTTGGACGAGTGTAGTTGGAAGTTTAGAATTGTCTACAGTGTTGGTGTTATAATTACTGATATGATTTAAGCCAAGCAAGTTCTAGAAAGCTAAATTTAGACGTTTATTGTTAGTATGTAGATTATCTTTAGTGTGATGAAGAAGAAAAGTAGGGTAGCCACGATTTTTGAAAAAGTGGAGCATGTTGATAGATTTCCTGTTATAATGTTGGTTGTTATTGCAGAGCCTATGTAATCTGGTGAGTTGGGATTTGGGAATGTTTCTTTTGATGTATGGAGGATGGCTGGAGTGAAAATGTAAGTAGCTATGTGTGTGTTCGTCGGTTTGTAATGTACAGATGTCATGAGATTGCCATCATCAGTCATACAAATATTTATGTCAAGAAATGAAATGGTTTGGTGAGAAACAGAAGGTGTGTATTGGAGTGATGAGTAAAAGGATTGAAAGAACTGAACAAAGAGATTGAGTTCATCATTACTGCATGTAGCTATAAGGAAAACATCATCAATATATCTACAATATAAGGCAGGGAAGGTACCTGTGTAGTTACAAAATATAGTCTTCAATGCAACCAACAAAGACGTTAGCATAGGAGAGACCTATTCTGGTTTCCATGGCTACACCTTTCACTTGTTTATAGAATTTGATGTAAAAAAAAGGCATTTAACAATAAAACTAATTCAGCTAATCTAATCAGGGTTTCAGTAGGTGAGTCTAGGGTATCCTTTCTGTCAAGGTAGTGTTTTAGAGCCTTGAGTTCATCTTCATGTGGAATGGAGGTATACAATGACATTCTATAAAGTGTAAATAAAATAATCAAATCTGATTTTGACATAAAATTTGCAAGTTTTATGTAATAACAACAACACAGCTGATCATTCTCTTGAGCACTTTAAAGTACTTGCCTTTCATCGTACTCCCTCTAACACCAATAAAAGAATCACTATCAAAAAAGAAATAATTTTTAAATTGGGTTGTTTAAGTCCTTTGGGTATTAACGAATGGTTCAGCTTTTTAACATTTTTTTTAATACCCTTCTGTTATTATCTTAAAGTGTCTAACTTATTTCTTTCTTTGTTATGTGAAGTTGTTTTCTTTTAATAACCAGCTCTATTATATTGTTTTTACTATATTGTTAATTCTCGTGGTTCTGTCTTACCTTGCATTCTGTTTTTTGTATTGTTTCATTTCAAAACATTCTTGTAATTGTCATTAACCGACAGGCTTGTTTCTGGCTTGAAAGAGAGTGTTTGCTCGAAACGTCGCCAAGTTAATAAATTATTACCATAGTTTTTAAAGGTGATTTTTTTTTTCTCTAAAAGTCTGATTTATTTTATTTCATCACAATCACATTTTTCTACTTATTTATTAGTAGTATGTTAAAAAGATATATCTACACATCATCTTGTTAACTAGTGTTATGTTCAAGTTATCAATTTTTGTATTGTTTCAGTGTATTAAAAGTATTAAAGTCTAATGTGTACTTAATATTCCAGACAAGAAACGGTACTTAAGGGAAATGATGGGCATGTGTACAGGGGTACACTTCAAAAAAGTTTTGTAAGTGTTGCAGAAGTTTGATTTATCACATTAAATACTAAGGTTTAAATAAGAAACATTTGAAGTGATTTAGAATGGATAAATAATTAGTCATTTTTACATCAACCGTTCCACTGCCTATTCTTGTATTTTAAAAACTGTTATTTCTTTATGTTACATTCAAAATATTTCTCCATATACATAATCATAATTTTCATTAAGCATATATATAAATGATCTTTGAAAAAAGGTTTTTTTTAATGCAAGTTTACATTTTGAATTTAATTTTGTATGAATAGTTCAAAGATGTTGGAAACCCTGTAAAGAAATACATAATATGAAATTGTATATAATATAGTTCATGTACTGAGCTTCTAGCTCAGTATGTAGTCACAATAAACATATGTGTAATCAATTTTCACATTTTTTTGGTGCTGAATATGATATACATAATGTTTTGTTATATATGTATGTTGAGACAGTTTGTATCTCATTATGTACTCATTTTGTGATACATTCACAACTGATATTTATGTATTTTTTGGAAGATGTGTTATAATACTGTTCTTATTTGTCTTCTTCTAAGTATTTAACTATTGTATGGTAACAAGTCAGTTTCTATTAAAGCTTGAAAGATCCCCAAACTGGGACCACTTGCTCAATATACAATCTGGTAGACCCACCTCATCTTCATCCTAAAACCTGGTGTCGAGAGCTCAAAAGTAGGAAAAATCAACAAATAATGGGAAGATAGCCTATGATGAAAGAGCAGTCAAGTTTGGAACCAATTGACACTGTGAAAATTACTTTTTGTTACTGAATTAAAATTTATAAATATACCATCTTCTAAAAGGAATGTTACTTGTTAAATGTACCACAGAAAAAATTATTATAAGCAGCAAACATATGACTAAATTCTAATAATTCAAATTGTTATTGGTGATACAAGTTTCTAGTTTTACTTAACCAAAATTAATGCCAGTTTTGTTAATCAAAATCACTCTGATATATAACAAATCCCAGTTTTTATGTGGTAAGATTCACAATAAGACAACCCACAAGCTTAAGTGTGTGTCAGCTTAGGTCAAACAGTGGTTTCTTTGACTGGTAAAACATTAGATGTAATATGAAAGAACAGAGAAAATGAAGAAAAGTAGCTTTGTTTATCATTTGAAATTCTATGTACATTCATTTATTTAAATTCAGATGTGAACAACTGATCACCTTTTCTTCTGGTTAAAGTCAAGTTCCTTTTGTAAATATTAATTAGGAATTACAATAAAATCATTTATTTTTCAATATTTTGTTTCTCCATTCTTTTATTAAGGAAAATTTCTGTGTAAACAGTATGAGAAGCCACAATGAGTCATTTATTTGTCACTTGTACCTTTCCTGTGTTGTCTAATTAAGTCAAGTTCCTCTTGTAAATATAAATGAGAAGCCATAATAAGTCATTTATTTGTCACTTATACCTTTCCTGTGTTGTCTAATTAAGTCAAGTTCCTCTTGTAAATATAAATGAGAAGCCATAATAAGTCATTTATTTGTCACTTGTACCTTTCCCATGTTGTCTAATTAAGTCAAGTTCCTCTTGTAAATATAAATGAGAAGCCATAATAAGTCATTTATTTGTCACTTATACCTTTCCTGTGTTGTCTAATTAAGTCAAGTTCTTTTGTAAACATGTATAAGAAGCTGCAATGAGTCATTTATTTGTCACTTCTACCATTCCTGTGTGTTGTCTGGCTAAGTCAATTTGGCAATGGAACTTGAATTCATTAAATTTGCAAATAAACAACTAAAGACAACATCTTAAATTTATGGGATTATCAAACCAAGAAATATTAAAACCTCAAATCCTACTGATGATAGTTTAGAAGAAGTAAAAGAATTTGTTAGACAACTAGTTAAACAAAATGGGGAAAATAAACTACAAGACAACAGATGTTTCAAGTGTAACATTCTTGTGGATATGAAGAATAAAAGAGGTCATTATTGGGGCCATGAACAAAACAAACCATAAAATGTGAGTCAAATCTGAATGGGATGTTGCATGATCAGAGGCTTATAGGTTGTACTTTCACATCAAGTAACATCAGGAGTAGTCACCTTTGAAGAAAGATATAGGAAGTTTGGTTTCAAATCTTTATATAAGGACAGCTTACCACCTCACTTAATAAGCTGTATAATCAGGGCTTTGTATGTCTTGCAGCTGATCAGTGTCAGAGGTTACATATCCTGCTCACAGAATATCAAGTCATCTCTGGTGCCAGTGGATATCATGTCTTAGGCAAATAAGTAAATTTATTTAAGGTGGACACTGGAGATGCATACAAACACAAAACAAATATATATATATAAAACATATATGCAGCCCCAGTACATCATTTAGCTAGGTAACTTCCCCCTTGCAAATCAGGTTGAGTCTTTCAAAGAGATAGAAGCAATAAAAGAACAAGGAGTGATAGAACCAAAGACTAGTCATTGGGCATCACTTATTGTACTGGTGAAGAAGAAGGATGGGTCTATAAGGTACTGCACAAACTACAAAAGTATGAATGAAGGCACAAAGAAGGATATCTGTCCATTGTCAAGGATTGACTCTTCTTTGGATGCTCCATCTGGATAAAAGTGGTTTTCAACATTGGATTTTAAGAGTGGGTATGAGCAAGTAGAAGTCAGAAAGCAAGGAGAAAGAATTCCACCTATACTTCAAGAAATGTGGAAATTTGTTATATTACCATTTGGAATGTGTAATACTCCTACATTTCAACGATAATTGAAATATACTCTGTCTCAACTACCTCGAAACGTTATACTCATCTACTTGGATGACAAAATCACATATTAAAATACCTGCAATAATGCTTATGAGGGACCAAGAAAAATTCCAGATTGGTTAAGGAAAGAGAACCTTAAACTGAATCTCAACATGCGAGTTTGCTGGGACATATAGCCAGCAGAAAGAGAGTGTCTACAGATCAATCAAACTGACTGTTTAGAACTGACCAACACTAAAGAACCTGCATGAGATAAAAGGATTTCTTGTACTGTGCTTTCACTATCGTCATTTTGTAAAATCATTCCCTGACATAGCTTATTCTCTGCAGCTGAGTAGTTTCATCGAATTAATACCTCATCAGTGCCGTTTGGAAGCGGTGAATAAAAGAATATATTAGGCCTTTACTTCACTAAAATCACGTGTTGGTGATGGTAAAAGAAATTGACAACTGAACAATGGTGGGTGTGATTTTGTCCTTATCAGAGGAAAAGGCTTCTGGTAATAAAGCATACAGAAGTAGATAGAGCATTTAGAAGCACTGAGTGCTTTGGTATATTAATGAACGTATTAATTAGGAATTTCCGAATGACTTTTTCTAAAATATGAAGGTACCCATTGCATGTAAGAGCATTCTGAATAAAATATATCGGAATGAAGTTAAAAATTGGAATATATGTTGTAGGCTCTATTAAGCAGGCATGTTACTATATTACGTTTACGATTACGAAAAATTCAAGATGTTATCTTTGTCAGGGTTGGTTTCTGTATTGCAGTAGAAAAATATAAATGAAATTGTTACTATCTTGGATATTTTAAAGTGTAAAACGGTACAGTTTTGCCATTAAATAACAAGTGTGAGTACGCAATGGTGTAATTAGAGAATTTATTATTATTTAATACTTCCACATAGTAGGTTGTCTGAATTAACAGCTTTCCACAGTTTTGTTACTTTTAGGTCTATCTTGTTCGCTTTTCCGGAATGGATAGGAAAAAGGTAAAGATAGTACATAGAGTTTAAAGTAAAACAAAGGGGTTAATTATTTTTAACGTTTAGCATGTAGTTGCGTAGTTCTACTTTGCATTCTCATTAACAAATTATTTTTCCGTGTTGTTTTACAACAGGTATACATTTTGATTAAGTAATATAAGTTGTTTTATGATTTATTTAAATGACGGGATTACTTAAAATTCGTAGAAATGTGATTTTTTTTTATCTGACTCAGTATATTTAGCCCCCAAATCACCAGCTTTTTATACCACTCGCTACTGGTAGGGGCCATATATTGCATATTATTACGACAGCGGAAGTCACGTGACCCTGGTAACACGTAATGAGTATCTAGAAAGATCGAGGAACCTGTCGAACGTCCTAGCGGTTGCTAGACTCGCGCTCTTATAGTATATAAACCGGCAAATAAAGTGACGGCAACAACTGAATGGCAGACAGAGAGATTGAAGATATAGATGGACAATTGAGTCAAGCGCGGTTGTAAATAAAGTGCGTGAATCGTTCGTTGAGAATTATAGTGTGTGTTCAAGTTAAAGTGACTGTGGAAATTAAGTGTATTGCAAAGTTGAATTGAGAAGGAATATATTGCTCAATATATTGTTACGTCTCTGGTCATTTGTTAATTACTCGTAACAAATGACCAGAGACGTAACAATATATTGAGCAATTTTATGTTTGTATTTGTCACGTACAGTGCTCATACTGATTGTAACTAATTCAATAAAAATCGCTGATTGTTTACAATTTAAACGCGGGAACTAAGCAGCAATTCGATGAATTAATTACAATATTGACGATATTTATGTGTAATTAACGAAGTCATGGACTCACCAGCGGTTTGATGCATCAAAAGATCAAAGTGGTGTGTTTAAAAAGCCAGTAAGTCACGCAGATTCCATCGATGGTTATACAATTAATAGATGAAGCTTTCGAGCAATATGCCAGAGAAGGGCGATAATTAAATCAGTAGCGGCAACTAGCGCCACCAAACAGGATAAACGTTTTAAAGAACTGTGTACAACGTATCTTACAAATAATCTTTGTTTTTGAGATTTTGCTGCTTCTTCGTGCTATAAATATTTGTATTATTCTTAAATGCATTTTTTGTTGTTGTTTTTTCACTGGTACTGAATACATTTGTTATGTTTTCGTTGTTTTTGTAACGTCTAATATTATTCGGGATACATTAATAGGTGTGAAGCCCTAATACCAATCGAGGAAACTGTTACATTATCGTGCCCTCCATTCCGGTTTTAGAGGCATAGTAAATACTTGTCACGTGACAAAGCAACTAGGAAATATTAGTAGAGTTCAGGATAAAGAAATAAATTATAACCGCTGCAGTAAAGTGACGTAGCAGATAGCTTTGATACATGGTACTGTTAGTACGCTTTAATTGATTTTACATTATCATATATTGTTTTCTCTTTAGTTTTAGTTTAATGTAGCTTACGTCATAGAATATTACAGTTGAGAAAGGGAAATTGAGTTTGTTTACACTGTCAGAGCTTTGTACAGCTAATACTCTGGTGTGAGGCTATCAACTACGTCACTCTACTGCATCGGTTTCCATTCATTGCTTACCCAGGATAAACCTGGGTCTGCCTTGAAAACTTATTTATCTTTCTTACTGTGCGAACGTTCGTATTTTGTAGTAGTTATAATGACAAAATAACGTGTTATCTACATTGTACAAACGTAGTCTGTTTACGTCATATATTTCATAACATTCTTCAAAGATAGATTTATTAACTAGTTGGATTAAACTAATCTCGAAAACAAACGGCTTAACGCGTGTGTCAGATTTCATGACGTAAGATGCCGTGAGGCGAGAATTTTGTATGGTTGCAGCTGCGCAGTAAGTACTTTACTGTCCTGGTCATCCATTTTTGATGGTTATTGATAAAGCTTTAATTATATTTAGTAGCGCGGTACAAACGAAGTACATAGATTTCTGAGTCTCAGTTATGTTTAGTATATTTAATTTGAAAGCTAAGTATGCGTTACACTTGTCTCTACAGTTTACAGGTAAGTTATCAATAGAAACGTTCACTTATATACCTTATAACTTGTATGTAACATTGTAAGACTACGAGTATACGGAGTAAAAATGTTTGTGTATCCATCTTGTAAGTTGTTAGCGTTCATTTAAAAAATGACAAATTGTTGTGAACAAGTATTTTGCAAGTGAGACTTTGTAAAAAGCTTCTGCATAATGAGTCAGTGACTTAAGTGAGTCAAAAGAAGCAGCTGGCCACTAGTATAAGTTATAACTGCGAATAAACTAAGTATAAATTAACCTAAGGTGGCAGTGGTACTGTTTTCATCTATAATAAGCTATAAAATTGAGTTGGGCAACAAAACCCTACCTAGAAAATGTAAATAAACTTATAGGTGGCGTTAAAGTAAACTCGGTTTTCCAAAAATATGTAAAAGTGACAATTAACCTTACCCCGTTGAAAATAGGATGGTTCATCTCGGTATTCAAAAAAGTGAAATAATTAGACAAAATATATACCACGTTATTATTGTTTATTTCAAAGTATGGGAGAAAGAGACAATAGACATCCTAGGAATAAATGTATGAGAAGAAGAGGTAATTGATATCCAATAGATAAAAGTACTGCAAAGCTGTGGCTTCTTGCAATCAACCCAAGGTCTATACACAACTGGAATACCTATGAATATGTGCGTCATTTTAATTGAGGATTCATTGGTAGTGTAGAACTTACTAATAACTAACATTTTGTAACCACATTGCACCTACTTGTAAAGAGGGATATAAAAAGCACTTTAATGTGTAGATTACATCAGTGTTTTGAATCATTCTTATGTGTTTGCTTTTAAAACATAATTTTTCATACCAGTCAATCCCCTAGAGATTTTATAGGTTATTACACATTAAAACTTGTAAACAAAATAATGTCACTTAAAGTGGATAATACATAAATAAAATAGTAAATGTTTTTTGAGGACAAAGTTATCTTGATGTTTCAAAGTAACATATAACATTATGTTGAACATTGTTCATTATATAGACTCGTGTTTGTTAACAACTATAAATATTAATAGTAATGATTCAATTGATTTCTGGTATAGTTTTCATCATGAGTTGATAAACAGGAGTATTATCAGGCCACTAGAACTACAGATGGTACTGTTTTCATCATGATGGGTTGGTCAACAGTAGTAGTATCATGTTACTAGAACTACAGTTGGTACTGTTTTCACCATTATGATGTTGGTCAACAGTAGTAGTGTCAGGTCACTAGAAGTACAGTTGGTACTATTTTCACCATTATGATGTTGGTCAACAGTAGTAATCTCAGGTCACTAGAACTACAGATGGTACTGTTTTCATCATGATTAGTTGGTCAACAGTAGTAGTATCAGGTCACTAGAACAACAGTTGGTACTATTTTCACCATTATGATGTTGGTCAACAGTAGTAGTGTCAGGTCTCTAAAACTACAGATGGTACTGTTTTCATCATGATTAGTTGGTCAACAGTAGTAGTGTCAGGTCACTAGTACTACAGTTGGTACTATTTTCACCATTATGATGTTGGTCAACAGTAGTAGTTCAGGTCACTAGAACTACAGATGGTACTGTTTTCATCATGATTAGTTGGTCAACAGTAGTAGTATCAGGTCCTTAGAACTACAGTTGGTACTGTTTTCATTATGATGGGTTGGTCAACAGTAGTAGTATCATGTTACTAGAACTACAGTTGGTACTGTTTTAACCATTATGATGTTGGTCAACAGCAGTAGAATCAGGTCACTAGAACTACAGTTGGTACTGTTTTCACCATGATTAGTTAGCCATCAGTAGTTGTATCAGGTCTCTAGAACTACAGATGGTACTGTTTTCACCATTATGATGTTGGTCAACAGTAGTAGTGTCGGGTCCCTAGAACTAAAGTTGGTACTGTTTTCATCATGATTAGTTAGCCATCAGTAGTTGTATCAGGTCTCTTGAACTACAGTTGGTACTGTTTTTTTATCATGATTAGTTGGTCAACAATAGTAATGTCAGGTCTCTAGAATTACAGATGGTACTGTTTTCACCATGATTAGTTGGCCAACAGTAGTAGTAGTATCAGGTCACCAGACTACAGTTGGGACTGTTTTTGATCATGATTAGTTGGGCAACAGTAGTATCAGGTCACTAGAGCTACAGATGGTACTGTTTTCACCATTATGATGTTGGTCAACAGTAGTAGTATCAGGTCACTAGAACTACAATTGGTACTGTTTTCACCATTATGATGTTGGTGAACAGTAGTAGTGTCAGGTCACTAGAACTACAGTTGGTACTATTTTCACCATTATGATGTTGGTCAACAGTAGCAGTGTCAGGTCTCTAGAACTACAGATGGTACTGTTTTCACCATTATGATGTTGGTCAACAGTAGTGGTGTCAGGTCACTAGAACTAAAGTTGGTACTGTTTTCACCATGATTAGTTAGCCATCAGTAGTTGTATCAGGTCTCTTGAACTACAGTTGGTACTGTTTTTTGATCATGATTAGTTGGTCAACAGTAGTAGTATCACGTTACCAGAACTACAGTTGGTACTGTTTTCATAATGATTGGTTGGTCAACAGTAGTAGTATCAGGTCACTAGAACTACAGTTGGTACTATTTTCACCATTATGATGTTGGTCAACAGTAGTAGTGTCAGCTCACTAGAACTAAAGTTGGTACTGTTTTCACCATGATTAGTTAGCCATCAGTTGTTGTATCAGGTCACCAGACTACAGTTGGGACTGTTTTTGATCATGATTAGTTGGACAACAGTAGTATCAGGTCACTAGAACCACAGATGGTACTGTTTTCATCATGATTAGTTGGTCAACAGTAGTAGTAGTAACAGATCACTAGAACTACAGTTGGTACTGTTTTCATCATGATTAATTGGTTAACAGTAGTGTCAGGTCACAAGAACTATTGATGGTACTGTTTTCACCTTGATTAGTTGGTGAACAATAGTAGTATCAGGTTACTAGAACTACAGTTGGTACTGTTTTCATCATGATTAGTTGGTCAACAGTAGTAGTATCAGATCACTAGAACTACAGTTGGTACTATTTTCATCATGATTAGTTGGTTAACAGTAGTGTCAGGTCACAAGAACTATTGATGGTACTGTTTTCTCCATTATGAGTTGGCTAACAATTGCAGTGTTTTACGTATTGAGTAATATCAGGTCATGAGAACTACAGATGGTACTGTTTTCACCATGACTAGTTGGTCAACAGTAGTTGTATCAGGTGACTAGAACTACAGATGGTGCTGTTTTCTCCATTATGAGTTGGCTAACAATTGCAGTGTTTTACGTATTGAGTAATATCAGGTCATGAGAACTACAGATGGTACTGTTTTCATCATGACTAGTTGGTCAACAGTAGTTGTATCAGGTCACTGGAACTACAGATGGTGCTGTTTTCTCCATTATGAGTTGGCTAACAATTGCAGTGTTTTACGTATTGAGTAATATCAGGTCATGAGAACTACAGATGGTACTGTTTTCACCATGATTAGTTGGTCAACAGGAATAGTATCAGGTTTCTAGAATTTATTGTTCTTCCCACCAAAGAATGTGACCTCTCCAATACATCACAGGTTAACTCCTGTATATGTTTCACTGTAATGTCACAGACACATCAAAAGTGAAGACTCTCAGAAACATCACAACTACCTGTCATTGTGACATCACATATTAACCTTTCCAAGACTTAATTGAAACTTGTTTTAATTTTATAAAATATTGTTGGTTTCTTTCTGTTTCTCACTAAAAACATACAAATCATTGAATAAATATATTTTATTTCATCTTTAATAGTACATTGAGAAGTAATGAAATACCAAAAGATTAATTGTCAGAGATTGCATAAAAGCACAGTAATCAACAGCTGCTGATAATACTAAACTAGTGACAGGTCAGTACAAACATGCAAAATAGAAATAATATATATGATAAATATATGAGCTCTTAAAAGTGAAAAATCTTAGAATTATCACATTGTATTAGTATAAAAATGGTCTATGTATTGATCCCTAGACACTAGGCCGTATAAAGGAAAATAATTGATATGATATTATTTTGTTATAAATAAATTATAGGAATTTGCTGACTAGCTAAATTGCAGAGTGGAATTGATTCATTATCGCACATGTATAAGGAGTGTAAAAATTTTTAAATCTGTAAATGGTCAAACAGCTCTATATAAATGTTTTTGTAATTCTATGGCATTAAAAAATATTTCTCATACACTAGTTACAAAGTTTGAATGTTGAAAGAAGACAAAATGTAATTCTTATATCTTTCAGTTTGAAAAACCAGCATGCATCAGATCACATGTAAACAGTGTAGTGTCCCTTTTTAATATATATATAGCTTGTGCTGCCACACAGTGAGTGTTATATAACGTTTCAGTTACATATATATAACTTGTATATATATATGAGTGTTATATATAACGTTTCAGTTACATCATCAAAATGTAACCACTCAGAAACATATATGTCACATAATGAAAATGACATAACACAAGCACCAAATTGTGACCATATGGTGATGTCACAGATACATGTCGTCTTTGGTGGGTTCTTTCTTCTGCTTCTTTTTTATTACATGATAACTCAAAACACAAAACAGTGATGTCAACCAATTTCACTGATTTGACATAGCTTGAAATGGAGTATCTGCTTTTATAAGTATTATTAATAACTAGTAGTAATTAAAAAAGTTCATAATTCTGTTGTAAACGATGTTGTCATTACCCCTTGAAGTTAGCTTTCTTATAGAAATATGGTGTTCCTTTAAAAGGCTTAAGAACAGGGTTAAACAGTAATTACCAGTCATTAATAGATAAGCAATAAATATTACAGTTGGAACCTTATTGTATTGTCTGTTGAAACACTGCATTAAAAACAAATAAAGAAACAACTATTCAATCACAATTGAGTTTAATTATCCTATTTTTGTCTGTTAACATTTTACTACACTGTGTACTTGTGCTATTATGTAGGATGTTGCAAATGCTATCCCTACTATCTTGTTTGCATTGTTTTTGATGGATTGATAGACATCCCTATATTTACTTCCTTTTTTTTTGAAGTTTTTTCTTTATTTGTTTTACAGTCAGGTGGCAGCTTTTTTTGTTTCTTTGACAAAGGCTCAGCCACAAAACAATCAAGAAAGGAAAAATTAACAAGGAAAAAATTATTTTAAATTCTTTTACCTTTCACATAAGAACAGTTTGAAACTGTATAATTCTTAACTCACAACTAAAAGATCAAAACCCTTTATAGAAAATCTTACCTCATTTCATTCTTCAGTAGCTGCTGTTTGTCTATCCATTGTTATTTTCATGGTATTTTGCTGATTTATTAGAAGCTCTCAGAGTGAGGTACTGGAAACACTGGACTTTATTTTGTATGTTGTATGGACATAAATGATGTTCAATGATTGACTTTCACCTGTGATCAAGGACCTTGTTGTATCAAGTACAAAATAGCTTTTTTCCATCATCATGAAAGTCTATATAGTCTCATGCTCTATCTGTTGCTGTTATATTGAATGATAAGTTATATTTGCATCCAGAGCTCAATGATAGTCTTAGAAATCTCTTTGTGGCTGAAGCTTGCACTGAAACTTGGCCACACTTCTCACTAACATACAAACATAAATTCGATGACGAGGAACCCACTTTGAGACTAATAATGGCTGGAGACAGCTTAAATGGGTAATGAAGAAAAACTTTAATATAAGTTTAACATGACAGCAAATGTACATAATTTGTGTGTTATTCTACTAATATCTTGTGGTGATAATGGGTACCAGTTAAGAAGAATTTTTGAGGGTTAATTTTTTTTTTGCCAAAAAAAATTTAACTTCAGCAAGAGAGTAAATGCAGTAAATTTTTCTGCGATCACAGAATTTTAGAGGGACGTATTGGAAGCCAACCTTGACTTGATTACTATAAATGCTCCTTACTTCCTTTTTATGTGGAAGCACTCTTTTCTTCTTTCCCTCACATGTGGATAGAATAGTCTGTGGGATAGATAGGGAGAAAATAATCTGATTATGCTACCTAGGGGCACAGGTGGAGGATATAACTGACAGAGCAGGAGATATAATAAAGGGGGCTAACAGTGATGCATTTCTTATTGTGTGTGTAGGGGCTAACGATGTAGGGAAAGGTAGGTCAGAGGAGCTAATTAACCCTATCTCGACAGGTCACGTGTCAAAGGCCATGTCATCGTGTTTGTTGACTTGCATTCAACATTCTATTGAACTATTATTTTATGAATATATGTCAGTAAGTTTGGTATCAAATTGTAAATTATAATTCAAATTTTAGTATTATATGTTAGTTAATTTCTTAATTAAAAAGTAAATATTAAAAAAAAATTCATAACAAAATTCACTGCCTTTACCACCACAATTAATAATACAGTTGACAAGTAGGAATATGTCTTTGAGGATCTGTTTTTTGCATGTTTCAATCCATAAGGATTTATCAGAAACAACATTTGAACATAACTTAAAAATATAAGAGAAATCAAAATACTAATCAAGTAATACTTAAAGAAGATGACCAAATATACATAAAAATGTTGTTTTTGTGAAATAGGATAGTCATTCTTCGTACACATATTGTTACTAGATTATAATTAATTTTTAGGAAACATCTTCATAAAACATTTATTCAGATATAATTTTGAAAAGAAAATTAATCATTATTTCCCGTCATTTGATGGACGTTCAACTTGTATATTTATAATGTTAAAATAAGATTTCATCTTATAAGATATGGCAAAGGGTGTTTCAAATTATGATAAGTGATTCAGATGATTTTTACTATGATCAGTAGAGTATTGGTGAAATTTTGCCTCTATCAGTATCTGCCAAAAGTGGTCAGTAATTCAATATCATGGACAAACGTGTGTGCTGGTTTATGTAGTGGTTGGATCATTTATAAGTATTTGATTGTGTCAGTATTATCTTACTGTGTATTTGACCTCAAGAATGTACCATAAAACACACACAATTTACACATTTATTTTTAATTTTAATAATTCTCTGTTTGTGTGATTGTGAAAGCCTCCCACTTCTTCTGTTTTTAGTACTGTCCCACATTCTAATTGCAGGACTGGGATCATACAATAAAATGTATGGCCTTAGCATTACAATTCTCGTTAAATAGTCTATTTTTTGCTTTCATGGAACATCTGAATTTTGTCGTGAACTTGTTCTTTTTACAGAAAAAGCTCTTTCACACTCATTACTTGTTACATAAAGCTCTGGGACATGTTAGGACATGCAGTTTAATTGCCCTTTTTACATAAATGTTCAGTTTTTATATGTGCTTTTGAACTTAGGCCATTCATTTGGTACCATATCACTTTAGTTTCAGTGTTTTTCTCCCAGCATCATTTGCAATTATGGTGAGTTTATTGGTTCCAAACAAAAATGCAAGATCAATGATAGCCCCTTCTCCTAGATCTTTAGAATGCTCAAATATGTGTTGTTTGTTTAGAGAAATCTACAGATCAAATAATCAATGTTACCAAAAATACTTCTGATGTTCATTTAGGAGGATCTAGAAATTATGAAAATAGATGTAAGTTATCCCTATCATGAACTTCATGTTTCACACAAATACTTCATTAAAAAAATTGGATTCTTTGGTCGTAACATACTTTTCACATTTACTAAAATACTGCCAATTTTCATGAATATACACTTACTAAATTTAGAATTGTAGTAATTGTTAATTTTCCAATACAGGCTCTGTCCATTGTGTGAGAAACACTGCTAATGGTGGATCTGATATGTGAGCTTTTAGGCTTACAGGTAAGTAGAAACCATAAAACCAGTCTAAACCAAAGAGAGATTACATAGAAATGGCTTAAATAAAACAAAATGGGGGAAATGTTCAAGTTTGTTTGCAAACTATCAAAAACATTAATAGTAGAGGGTACTATTGGCAGTTGTTATCAGTTCTAAAATTTACCGTTGATACATTGCTACTGAGACATTCATAATCACAATCTATCAGTAGTTTGATGTATTGTTACACTCCTTGCTGTGGTTTCCTTACTTTTTTAACACAAGCATCTATGTAGAAAAATCACCATTTTCACAGTGTGCAACCAGTAGACACACGAATTTATATTATAGTGTATTGATGACAGTACATCCGTGACTGGTACATGTAAAATGACACATCTTTCAAAAAATCATACATATTTTATGTAGATGAGCTAGCACTGATGATTATATTGTTCATCTTCAAAGTTTTTATTCAGTGTGAATTTTTGTGTGCATAATTATCACATATTTTAAAATATGTATGTTTTGTGACTGTGTGAATGTTGACAATCACCCCACAATTCATGTGTAACTGTAAAACGGAAAGGTACTTACATACCCTATTTTGTGTTTCATTTCTTATTCTCAATGCTAATATCAGAAAATTAACTTAGATATTAACTCATTGAAATATTATCCTAGTGATTTGTGAGAATAAAACTTAAACTAAACTGTGTTTTCGTTACTACATATGGATGAATTCATTTCTTTTTTTATTTGAAGAACATATAGTGATTGTAAGATAAATATTATAACTTTTGAATTAATATTTTATTTGTTAAATTTTTAAGATATTTTCAGTCAAGGATATTAATATGATTATTTTGTTCTTTTAGATGATCAGTTGAAAATTGCACAGTGAGAGTTAAGGAAGTTAGTAAAGGGTATCAAGGAATCATAGAACCTGTCCTTAAGAGACAACATCTTTATGGAAATGGGGTCTTATCTCCCCAATTCCGCTTCTGAATCTGTGATAACTAGCTCAGGTGGGCAGAGTACAAATACTTTTTCCAATGAAGGAAATATACACCATTGCAGTGCTCATCTTGATGATGAAATGCCTCAGATAGTATTGTGTGAAATCAGTTTATGCTCTTCCATGGGTGTCAAATGCACCAGAATCCAGGGAATTGCACACAGTGGCAACAACAGTCAGAATGCTTCAGACAATTCAGACTTTGAGAGTAGAACTCAGGGCAGCAGTCTCACTGCAACCAAATCACAGAATGCTTCTGACACTTTAGACTTTGAGAGTGGAACTCAGGGCAGCAGTCTCACTGCAACTAAATCATATCTTTCAGGGGCCAAATCTTTGGAGTCATTATATTCTGCTTCTCAGATTGGTTTATTAAGCACTTTTCATCATTTACCACTACAGAGTACACACTGTTTAAAAGGTTTTGGCTGTGTAATGCTAGAAACAGAGACTAAATTAAGTACTCCAAATGTAGTTAAAGAGAAAGAAACTGTTGGCCATTCAACTGACATTTTGGGGAATCTTTCTGATATGATATGCCCCTTGGATACCAGAAATATCATTATGAATGAGAATGGACACAGCACTTCCTTGAATGAACAGGGATCATCATGCTCATCCACAAAGTTGCACTTTCCAGTTACAAATGTTTCAAACCAAAGTGCCTTGAGTAGTCAAGGGAATAAAATTAATGTATTGGGAAATTATCCTGTAGGCAGTACATCGGTTAAAAAGTCGTTTGCTTCTCAGAATGGTCTTGATAATTATGAAGAACTGATAGGTGCAGTAGGAGGATGTGATCAGTCTTCAGAAGTTAACAATTCCAAACATAAATGTGTACCTCCAATCCGACTTGGGCTGTTGGGAGGTGGAGAAAACTCTGTGAATAATGGGACGTCAACATGGAATTCAGGCTCACAAGGTAGTGCTGGTGCATCAAACTGGAGTGTAAATAACAATAACAGTGCTGGAGCTCACTTTAATTCTATTGGAAGACAAGGAGGACCAGGCTTCTCTTCTGGCAGTAACTGTGATGATCAAGGTAATATTTTCAAACAAAATAACCTGTAATTTATTGTATTCATAATCTTCTTCAGAAATCCAAATATATGATTCAACCAATTGTGTTTCATAATGTTATGTTTTATATAGACAGCTCTTTTCTGGTCAGAGGCTCTTAATATCTCTATTAAATAATTGATTATGCAAACATTCACTTATTTCCGAAACTGCTCACCTCTTCACAGAACAAATAGTTAATATTGTGTGCCACTGCTAAGAAGTTTTCACAAGTGCTAAATCTTTGAAGGAAATTCCCACCTATGCATGTAAATAATATGTACTGTATCATTTTTTTGATGCAATCAGCATCAGACTATAGTAGTAGGTTGACATATCCTCCTTGCTCAATACTCCCTTTGAACACTTATGATATACAACATTGTTTATCCATGTCCCCTTTTTGTCAATAAACAGTGTTGTATATCATAAGTGTCGTAATCTTGTTTATAGTCAAACTTCATTTTCCTTCGAACACATTGATTGCTAATCCCCTTGAGTACTTTGTGTGTACCAAAAGCTCATTCTTTTCCTTGGCTCTGTGGTGTTCATTAGTGTTCTTGTTTTTATTAATAGTCACTGAATTATGTGTTATCTTTCTTACCTTCATTTTCTTGGTTTTGGGAAAGAAATATACACATTTTTAGAGTGATTTGGACTAGAGATTCTGATACAAGTTAATATATTTTCTTATATTATTTTAATTCCTTCTCTTAATCAAGTTGCAAGATTTGGGACAGCTATTTCAGAGTCTATGATATTATTTATTTGATAAGAACATACTTCATCATTATTAACCAAGTGTTTGGGCTTTGGCAGAAGCCAGTGACAAAGCTCGGTTTTTTCAATATGAAAATGACCAAGGCCTAAGTAATGTAGAAATAATAATTGTATTTTGATTGATTTTTCTGTGAATTCATTTTTATGGATCTTATTCAATATAACTTCTTATATCCATGTTTCTGAACTCTCCCAAAGTCCATACCATCCTCTACTGAAGCCGTCATATTTTCCTTAAATGGTTACTAGATTTATTCTGAGAGTAACCAATAAAACTGTTATTGTCTGTCATGTAATTAGGTTCTATCCTATGTTCTTTATCTTGAACCCAACACTTACAGCCTCCTAGTTCTGTAACTTTTACTGAGCCCGACTTGGTTTTGAATGGCTTTGACTAGATCTTCCCCACAACCTGCCTTTACTTCTGGTTCTTCTATCCCTGACAAGAACCAGTAAAAACATCCACCTTTAGTCCTTTGATATCTCAGGCATGTGTTACTCTTATTTCAGTTGTTTTCACTAATTTTCAGGCAACCTTCTTGCATGGGCCTCAAATCATAGTTTATCTTCCCTTGCCTAACTGTTGCATTATTTCAGATTTTGTATTTTCTTTGTGTTGACTCTCAGGTTCTACATCCTTTTCAAACTTAAGACTCCTTTTTTTTTTGACATATGGTTTGAATACTTCCTCTTCTCTAGTGCTCCTATCTCTTGACTCTCTTTTACCCTAAACCTGCTCATCATCATCATCATCTTTTGCTTACTCACCTTCTTAGTTTTCTGTCCTATTCACCCTTTACTTTTGAGGTTCTGCATCACTACCCTGACGGCTTTACTGAGGAAGGTCATACTAATTTATTCTTCATGCTGCGCAATTGTTTTCTTCAGTTGTTGCCCAGTTTATTTTCCGAAGTTTTATCTCAGTGAACTTTATTTGGCACCCTTCCTACATGTAGAAGTTTTTTTTGGAAGATTATCGTATTGTGGCCCCTTTCTGATGTTCTCCTCTAGAATTGTATATTTTGTTGTTGTTAGCTTATAGATGCTGTCGGTCAGAGTTGTTTGCAATCAGTGTGCATCAGACTCTTTATCATTCCACATTTGTCCTGCTTTACCCCAATAGGTCCTTTCTTCCCAAGACTGGGAAAGGGAAAAATCCTTCTCATCAATCCATTTGCCAGCCATTTCTCACCTTTATGACTGCTCCGATCCTGATTGTTTGTTATGTTCTGTTAGGGCCCTCAATTGTTATGTGGCTTGTACTAACTGATTTCAAGGTAGTAGGAATCAATTGTTCATTCATTGGAATCCTTCTATTTCCCTTGAGTTAGCTCCCATTACCCTAATGAGGTGGCTTCATAAATTGATTCACATGGCCTATAATGGATTATTGTTACAGGAGAGGAATCTTTTGCATGTGACGTCTCACCAGATTCGTCATACCTCTGTGGCATTAGCCGCCCGGTTGAATTTCCCTCTGGAAGACATTGTGCGGGCTAGTATATGGACTACTAATACTTTCCTATATCATTACTTACATGATCTGGCAGTTTCCTCTTCTCAGTGATTTTGAGTACCCCCTGTAGCTATTTTGGCCACATCTGTTAGATTTTAACTAGAGCTGAGTATTTTCCTCAATCATATACTCTTTCATTTCCAGGGTCCTTTTATTTTTCATTGTATCCCACTCTGTGGAGAATGTTGCCAAGGCAGGCATGCTTTCTCTTTTCAATTCTGCACTAGCAACCAATCTGACTATAATTTCTACAGGCTCTATCGAAATGTGGTGTTCCACAAGACCATCTAGAGGCCTACCGGATGGTATTACTTTATTATTGTAGACTGCCACTCATAGATCATAATGAGTAAAGCTAAAGGGGATCCTGCCTGTCCCTTCCAATCTTCAGGTTGAACAAATCAGTGTCGGTTTGCTTTTGAAAATGTAGGGAACTTGGTTCACCTATTGCACAGTTTACAGACCACTGTTTTTCAAGACTCCCCAAAGCATATTACCCCCCCCCCCCCGACCTCTACTAGTGGAGCTTGGTAGTCTTTCCCACCCCCAGTTTCCAGTTGCTGGTGTGACGAACAGTGGCTTTTCCTCCAGAGTGTTCAAGCATGTTCTTCCACTCGTGGAGAAGATGGCAAAGTTGGGGGGCCTTCCAACTAGGGTCTCTGGATGTTTTTCCCAGATGTCAGTAGGAATGGCACCAACCTCTGCAGGATCCTACTCGTAATTCCAGTTCAGATTTGACACAAAGCTATCCAGTTGGGGGGGGGGAGTGCATGGCCCTTCTCTTTGATCAATGTCAGTTTTGTATATTGTTCATGGAATGAGCTCCACTATCTCCTCATAATTCCGAAAGCAAAGTGATCCCATTCTAGGTCCTTGGTTGAGCACAGTTCCACATCCTTGCTTGGTTGGGGAGTGAGGATAAATGTTCATAATTCCAAACTGGATGAGTTCTGTTCCTTTGGTTGAGTACAGCATAAACGATCCCATCATTCCAAGCCTGGGGAGTTGACTTTTGGACTTTAGGTGGAGTAGAAAGTTTATCCACTTCGGTGTTGCAGAACACATCACTCTATGGCTACATGGTAGGATCCAATCAAAGGTGTATATATATATATATATAACATTGTGGTCCAATAGCCCTATCCACCAATGTGAGATATAGGTACTACGACCCCTTAATTCCAACCCTGAATTGTGAAACCTCGACTATCTGGTTGGGGCTGGCCTATACTAACAATTACTCATATTCTATTCTTTGATATAGGAACTTAGTTCCTGGTGAAGAGCATATCTGTTCTGGACATAGTGCGATTCCCCCACTTTCGTACCATCTTTGTCTTGGTATACTCCTGTTTTATACAGATGCTTTCTGTATGTTTTGTACCTGCATTGGCCCCTCCACCTTTTCAATGTTGTATTCTAGCTATAGTGTCAATGGAGGTGTGTTTTGGAAGTTAACATTTTCCTAAACTGAAAATGTATTTCCAATAATATTTACCTCTGCTGACACTCTCCTGCCTTACCTTCCCACTAAAAGCTGAATGAGGTGCTTATATACAGTACCTAGATAGAGGGTGCATTGTAAAATTTTGCAAATTATTGATTGCCAAGGGCATTCACGAGGGGTATAAAAGACTGGAGCAAGCATTTTCAATGCTTAGATGGGCAAAGAGTGGAAACCCTGGAGATTGAGAAATAGCTATCAATGGAGGTAAGTATTATTGGAAATACATTTTCAGTTTAGGAAAATGTTAACTTATAAGATAACAGTATATAGCCTATTTTGGTTAAATAACAGTTATCTGGGCATCTGCTCCTTACAGCATTTAAATTATAATGTGAGATGTAAAACTGAACTAACTGAAAAATCTATCATTTATAATAATAATATTTGGTAATACATTGTGAAGTGTTTCTTCTAAAATGTATTTAATTTTGAATGTTTTTCTGCTTTCATTTCATATTGAAAAAGAACTAAGTCAATTATAATTGTTTCCAGTTGAATCTATAATAACATAGAAAGTAACTGTTTTTTGTAAAGTTTTACTAAGTTCAACTATTAGTTTATGCAAAAGCATGTCTACTTTTTAGGTAGGTCACTCCCAAATACTTGGGCACTGGCAGCTGGAAAAGGACTTGATAGTAATCCTACTAATGGAAATGTTCTAAATGGTCAAAATTCCCAGAATGAGAATGGACATTCAGTCAAACTTTATAATGAAGAACATTTGTCAGAGATTCACAGTACAGCTGCTCAAAATGATGGATGGGGGAAGACAGTAAGTTGACATTGTCAGTCTATTTTATAATTCACTTCCTCATGTAATATAACATAGAACAAGTGTAAAATATGAATTAAAAAAAAGATTTGTGTAATATCATGTAAAATAAGTTCTCTGTCCCTTGTGTATGTATGATAATATAGAAGAATTGCTTAGGCTCTTGTATAAGATGATATAAAACAACTGTTCAGTCCCTCGTGTATGTATGATAATATAGAAGAATTGCTTAGGTTCTTGTGTAAGATGATATAAAACAACTGTTCAGCATCTCATGTAAGTATAATATTATTAAACAGTGCTCATTCTCATGTGTAAGATAATATAAAACAAGTGTTCAGTCCCTCATGTATGTATGATGATGTAAAACAAGTGTTCAGCCCCTCATATATGTATGATGATGTAAAACAAGTGTTTAGTCCCCCGTGTATGTATGATAATGTAAAACAAGTGTTCAGTCCCTCGTGTATGTATGATAATATAAAACAAGTGTTTAGTCCCTCGTGTATGTATGATAATGTAAAACAAGTGTTCAGCCCCTCGTGTATGTATGATAATGTAAAACA